TAATCCCAGTACTTTGGGAGGCGGAGGTGCATGGATCACTTGAGGTCAGGAGTTCAAGACCAGCCTGGCCAACGTGGTGAAACCCCATCTCTACTAAAAATACAAAAAATGTGCCAGGTGTGGTAATGCAATCTGGCTACTTGGGAGGCTGAGGCAGAAGAATTGCTTGAGCCCAAGAGACGGAAGTTGCAGTGGGCTGAGATTGCGCCACTATTTTCCAGCCTCGGTGACAGAGCAACACTCCATCTCAAAAAAAGAACATATACATATTTCTCCATCATTTACTCTTTGGTCTGTGGTTTAACAATATTGAATCTACCTAGCAGCTGCTTCTATGACTAAATGAATAAATGATCTTTCTGATACCATAATGATTACACATTGTTCTAAAATAATGGGGTAACAACTGTTTTATTTATTTATTTTTTATTGCATTTTAGGTTTTGGAGTACATGTGAAGAACATGCAAGATTGTTGCATAGATGGGGTAACAACTGTTAAAAGGGGAAGTGTAAAACAATAAAACAATGGAATATATACAAAATAGAACTACAGAAATAAAAGGCAGAAATGAACGAAAGCAACCAGTTTAAAAATCAAGTCAGGAGAGGAGAATAAAACATATTATTTCTTCAAGGCTATTTATTTATTGAGACAGAGTCTTGCTCTGTTGCCCAGTGATCTCAGTTCACTGCAACCTCCACCTCGGAGGTTCAAGCAATTCTCCTGCCTCAGCCTCCTGAATAGCTGGGACTATAGGCCACCATGCCTGGCTAATGTTTTGTATTTTTAGTAGAGATAGGGTTTCACTATGTTAGCCAGGCTGGTCTCCATCTCCTGGCCTTGTGATCCACCTGCCTCAGCCTCCCAAAGTGCTGGGATTACAGGCATGAGCCACCGCGCCCAGCCTCAAGGCCTACGTCGATTTTTATGAAACCTCAAATTCCCACAATCCTAAAACACATATTTAAATAAAAAACCAATTTTTAAAAATGACACATTTGTTTCAGTGGGAAAAAAAAAGAAAAAAATATTTTTTTTCCAACTGAACAGTAACACGTGTATCTAAATATAAAGACAGCTACAAAATATGTATTTTATTTTATTTTTTTTTTTGAGACTGAGTCTCTGTCGCCAGGCTGGAGGGCAGTGGCATGCTCCGCTCACTGCAAACTCTGCCTCACAGGTTCAAGAGATTCTCCTGCCTCAGCCTCCTGAGTAGCTGGGATTACAGGCGCACACCGCCATGCTCAGCTAATTATTGTATTTTTTTTATACAGAAGGATTTTCACCATGTTGGCCAGGATATTCTCCATCTCTTGACCTCATGATCCACCCACCTTGGCCTCCCAAAGTGATGGGATTACAGGGGTGAGTCACTGTGCCCAGCCTGTTTTATTATTTTAAGAGAAAAGTATAAACTCACTAGAGAAAATTTAGAATATAAGAAAAATAATTCTATCCCCCATTGGAAACTATTGTTCAACCATTTTAAAGCCTAGCTCTCAGAAAGGATTTTTACCAACTTCTAAAAGAACTGAGAGGAAAGAAAAACTTGGCAATATTCCTAAATGAATGTTCAAACTCTTTCTTTCACCTTTCATTTTACCCACAGGAATAAGAGTATATTTGGATATAGGTGGGGCTGGTTCAAGAGTCACAAATGCCACACATGTAATAAGCACTTGTTTTCCCATGGGGAGGTGCAATAGGAAAACACGTTTTAGCTTTACCTGTTGAAGCAAATATTTGAACTGTACACTGTAGATTGAGGAATTCTACTGGAGAAGTAACATAAGGAAGTCTGGAGTGAGGGAACCACCACCCATTGTCCTAACACATGCACATTTCTATTCCTTTCTTGTCTTGAAGGCATATATATTGCCCAAATAGACTAGATTCCAACAAAATTTCTACTTTAACCTAGACACTGTACTAGCTCCTACTTCTCTAAGTTGTTACATCTGCAGAATTTGATGGGACACCCAGTTCACAAAGTAATAAAAATCATAATGTATAATAAACCTCTTTATAATTACCTTACTGTGTATTGTTTTAATTTCATATACATAATAAACAGGCAGTTCTGCTTCAGAGATGTTACATATCAGCAACTATCCTACTAATAAATGCAATTTGGCAATATGTAAATAGCCTTAAAATGTGTGAAGAAAACCAGAACATATCACTCCACAATATGCATCTTTGACATATAAATTATTTCTGAGAGACCAGACATGGTGACTCATGCCTGTAATCCCAGCTACTTGGGAGGTTTGAGGCATTAGAATTGCTTGAACCCGGGAGGCAGAGGTTGCAGTGAGCTGAGATTGCGCCACTGCACTCTAGCCTGGGAGACAGAGCAAGAATCTGTCTCAAAAAAAAAAAAAAAAAGAAAAAAGAAATTATTTTTGAGCCGTAGACAATTAGTAAGTAGCAAACAGAAGAAAAGCTCTTTCTATTCCCCGCTCCTTTTTGCCTAAATGTAAAATACAGCTTCTCCTTTACACACAACTCTATAGACTTAATGACCCAGAGACAGCACCAGAGGAGTCTACAAACAAATCTTACTCCATTAGTTTCCTCCCAAATATTTACCTTCCCAGTTTCCTATCCTTGGAAGCCTAAAATCTCTTTTCTGTGTTCTGCCCTTTTTCCACAAATGTATTGTTCCTTGTCGAAAATGCTACATAAGCCATATGTAGCATGTGAGGCATTGCTTTGAGTTACTTTGCATTGAAGTTTCTCCCATGTGATGTATGCCACACACATTAATAAACTTGCTTTTCCCTTGTCAATCTGTCTTTTGTTTTTTTGTTTTGGTTTTTTTTTTTTTTTGAGATGGAGTTTCACTCTTGTTGCCCAGGCTGGAGTGCAATGGCATGATCTTGGCTCACCACAACCTCGCCTCCCGGGTTCAAGCAATTCTTCTGCCTCAGCCTCCCACACAGCTGGGATTATAGGCATGAACCACCACACCCTGCTAATTTTGTATTTTTAGTAGAGATGGCGTTTCTCCATGTTGGTCAGGCTGGTCTGGAACTCCCAACCTCAGGTGACTGCCTGCCTTGGCCTCCCAAAGTGCTGGGATTACAGGCATGAGCCACTGCGCCCCGCAATCTGTCCTTGATTATAGGGGGTCTCAGCAAAGAACTCTGAGGTTGAAGAAAAAATTATTTGTCCTCCCCAACACATGCACACAAAGAAAGTTTGTTCAAGTGTTGTTTATAATAGCAAAAAATTTATCCGCAACGTGATTCCAGTAAAAGGAAACCATTTACACACTGGTACTCCCCCACAATGAATCATTTCATCAATAATTTTTTTTTTTGAGACTGCATCTCACTTTGTCATCCAGGCTGGAGTGCAGTGGCATGATCACAGCTCACTGCAGCCTCAAACTTCTGGGCTCAAGTGATCCTTCTGCTTCAGTCTCCCAAGTAGCTGGGTCTACAGGAGCATGCCACCATGCCTGGCTCAATAAATAGTAAGATAAATATATGTTGATATTTGATAAGTAGTGAAAAGTAACACATGCCGTGTGATCCCATTTCTGTAAGTTTATATGACATCTAATTATGCCAGGCCTCACCATCCTATGAATGTCATACTTTCCTTCTTCTTCTGGTACAAGACAGGAATGGTTTAAATACTATTCTACTAGTTCCCCTTAAAGCATCTCTCAAAATATTTGAGAATCCTGAAAAAAGATGTGTCACATAATGGCCACCAAGTCTGTCACCTACATACACCATGCAGGATCCATCTTCCTACTACTTCTCACTTTACCATTGCTACTGCCCACAAAGCCATGTGGAGAAGCTTCTCTGCTTCCAGATTCCCTGATGGGCATGTGAATGTCAGAACCAAAGGAATGAACTCCACAGGCACCCAAAGTTTCCACACATGGGAAAGAATGGCCTCCTCCACTAAGAAGTTCTCAAGTGGCTGGGCATGGTGGCTCACGCCTGTAATTCCAGCACTTTGGGAGGCCACGGCAGGAGGATCACTTGACCCCAGGAGTTTGAGACCCGGGTAAGTGACATGGGAAGACCTTGAGTCTACAAAAAATTCTAAAAAATTATCCGTGCATGGTGGTATATGCCTGTTGTACTGGATCACTTGAGCCTGGGAGGTCGAGGCTGCAGTGAGCCATGATTGCACCACTGCACTCAGCATGGGGTACAAAGCAAGATACTGTCTCTTAAAAAAAAAAAAAAAATTCTCAAGCTTTCTACCAGATGCAAATAGATCCTAGGAAGAGGGTGAATGGTTTGTGCAAGGAGCTTTGATGTTCCAGTTACACCTGCCCAAAGTGCCCTATTACAGAAATATTTGCCAAGAAAAAAGACTAGGATATACTCGAATTTCTCAACAGTGGTAATCTTTAAGTATTCTGGAAGTTCTTCTTTTTCCTTTTTTTTTTTTTTGAGACAGGGTCTTACTCTGAGTGCAATGGTGTGATCACAGTTCAACGCAGCCTCAACCTCCCCCCATTCAGGTGATTCTCCCCCCTCAGCCTCTAGAATAGCTGGGGCTGTAGGCATGCACAGCCACGCTCCCCTAATTTTTGTATTTTTTGTAGAGACAGGGTTTCCCCACATTGCCCAGGGTGATCTCGAACTCCTGGACTCAAGTGATCTGCCAACCTCAGTTTCCCAAAGTGCTGGGATTATAGGTGTGAGCCACTGCACCCAGTCCTTTTTTTTTTTCCTTATTTTATAATTTTTGCAATAAACAGGGTTTTTGAGGCATGAAAAAAATTTTTAACTTAAAAAATAAAATAGTCAAGTAGCAAATACATACTGAGAACCATTTCCTTATTAAAGAGCAAACTATGAGAATAATTTCTTTCTTTTGTGCGTATTTGTTATTCTTTTTTGTTGTTGTAACCACCAGAACAGGCAATGTTAAGAATAATTTCTGACAAATATTCACAGGCATCTGGCCTCTAATTCCACCCCCAAAGTCATCCCTCTTCCTGTCCCAGTGGTACTTACATTCCTGAAGACATTCTGTGTCTGTGCAGTAGGACTGGGACTGCCGTAACTGCAATGAAAAACAAAGGAAAGTTAGCTATTAGACTTAAACAAAAGTGGACAACAATTACTAGAAAGATCATGTTTTGGCCAGGCGAGGTGGCTCACACCTGTGATCCAGCACTTTTGGAAACTGAGGCAGGTAGATTGCTTGAGCTCAGGCATTCGAGACTAGCCTGGGCAACAGAGCAAGAATCTGTGTCTATAAAAAATGCAAAAATTAGCCAGGTGTGGTGGTGTGTGTCTGTAGTCCCAGCTATTAGGGAGGCTGAGGCAAGAGGATCGCTTGAGTCTAGGAGGCAGAGGTTTCAGTAAGCCAAGATAAAACCACCAGACTCCAACTTGGATGACACAGTAAAACCTTGTCTTAAAAAAAAAAAAAGTTTTGTTTTGTTTTTTGAGACAGGGTCTCACTATGTTGCCTAGGCTGGAGTGCAGTGGTGCAACCCTAGCTCACTGCAGCTTCAAATTCCTGTGCTCAAGCAATCCTCCTGCCTAAGCCTCTTGAGTAGCTGGTATTACAGGTGTGTGCCACCATGCCTGGGTAATTTTTAAAAGATTATTTTGTAGAGATGGGATCCTGCTATGTTGACCAGTCTAGTCATGAACCATGTTTTGGTTATTTTTATTGTAGTATTATTACTATCATTTGAGTTTCACTCTTGTTGCCCAGGCTGGAGGGCAATGGCACAATCTCAGCTCACTGCAACCTCTGCCTCCTGGGTTCAAGTGATTTTCCTGCCTCAGCCTCCCAAGTAGCTGGGATTACAGGCACCCACCACCACACCCAGCTAATTTTATGCATTTTTAGTAGAGACAGGGTTTCACCATGTTGGCCAGGCTGGTCTTGAACGCCTGGCCTCAGGTAACCTACTCGCTTCGGCCTCCCAAAGTGCTGAGATTACAGGCATGAGCCACTGCGCCCAGCCCCATGTTTTGGTTTTTAATGAATGCTGTCACAAAATGTATCTTCAAAATCATCATACACAAACACACAATACACTGAGAGGCTGTCTACTTTTTTCTCTACCCCAAATAATTTTCAAATATATTGTGATCTGTTGCAATTCACCCATTTCTTTTTTTCTTTTTCTTTTCTTTTTTTTTTTTTTTTTTAGACGGAGTCTCGCACTGTTGCCCAGGCTATAGTGTAGTGGTGCAACCCTGGCTCACTGCAATCTCTGCCTCCTGGGTTCAAGCAATTCTCCTGCCTCAGCCTCCCGAGTAGCTGGGACTACATGTGTGCTCCACCACAGCCAGCACATTTTTTTGTATTTTTAGTAGAGACAGGGTTTCACCATGCTGGCCAGGATAGTCTTGATCTCCTGACCTTGTGATCTGCCCGCCTCGTCCTCCCAAAGTCCTAGGATTACAGGCATGAGCCACTGCACCTGGCCCACCCATTTCAATAATTAAAAAAAAGTCACCTGTGACACAAATTCTTGCTGCCAGTATATAATTAGGCATCCCAAAGGAAAAGTGCTAAATTGTAGAGAACTAAGAGTAAACCTTTGTCAAAGAGATTTTTCTTCTCATTGAAAATCAGAAGCAGATAAAGAAAAAAAAAAGATTCTATTTGTAGAAAATGCATCTCTGAAAGGGAGCAGAAAGAATCAGTCACTGGCTAGATAAGAAACTAATGGCCAAATGTAGTGGCTAACGCCTGTAATCCCAGCACTTTGAGAGGCCGAGGCGGGAGAATCACCTGAGGTCAGGAGTTTGAGACCAGCCTGACCAACATGGAGAAACCCCGTCTCTGTTTTAAAAAAAACCTAATAAAAGGAGTTACCAGAAGGAGTGAAGTTATGATGGGGGAGTAGAGAAGAGTGACACAAATAGGAGCTAAATTTGTCAATGTTTTTCTATATAATTTTAGAATCATGTGATTATCAATTTTAAAGAGAAAATTAAAAAAGAAAAGGCCCATCTATCTATATTATAAGCCATCCTTTTAGGAGCATATAGCCCATACTGAAGCCTTTAAGGATGTTTAAAAATGAAAATCTCATAAACTTTAAAATAGAGATGAATAAACAGTAAAGAGAATGCGGGGCATATAACTTGCCAGTTTAGTCTCATTACTAACTACACCCTGTCCATTAAAGTAGTAACACAAACTTGCAATTGTTTGGGATGGCAACTATTGTGCAGTAGTCTTTAGCTGGTTCAGCATGGCTCTGCAGAGTGACGGGCCTAGATTTAAAGTCTGGTTCTGCAACTTTCTGAGTTTCAAGACCTTGGGCAAGTAATTGAACACCTCTAAGCTTCAGTTTCCTCCTCTAGTAAAAGGGGAGATAGTATCACATATATCTAAGAGTACTAGTGAGAATTAATATGGATAACAGATACTCAAGAAATGTTAGCTTTTATTACTGTGCCATACAAATTATGACCTCAACTAAACAATTATTAGAAGTAACAACTAAATGAATCATTTTGTAAATTATTCTCTAAGATGATCAGGTTTGCTTTGGTGTATACCACTAAAAGTAGTCCTGTTTGGAGCCGGGCACAGTGGCTCATGGCTGTAATCCCAGCAGTTTGGGAAGCCAAGGTAGGAGGATTGCTTGAGCCTAGGAGTTTGAGACCAGCCTGAGCAACATGGCGAAACTCTCATCACTACAAAAAAATAGAAAATTAGCTAGGCCTGGTGGGGCTGGACCTTGTCTCAAAACAAAAACACAACAAAAAAAGTCTTGTTTGAATTAAAATGAGAAAACAGATTTTTTTTTTTTTTTTGTGAGACAGAGTCTCACTTTATTACTCAGGCTGGAGATGAGTGGCACAATCACAGCTCAAAGCAATCCTCCCGCCTCGGCCTCCCAAGTAGCTGGGACAAAAGGTGCCTGCCATATTTTTTTATTTTTTGTAGAAATGGGATTTTATCATATTGCCTAGGCTGGTACTGAACTCCTGTGCTCAAACGATTTGCTGGCCTCTGCCTCCCAAAGTGCTGAGATTACAGGCATGTGCCACTAAACCCACTAAGCCCAGTGAAGAAAACAGGTATTTTTTTAAATTAATTTTAATGAAATAGAGATTGGGTCTCTCTATGTTCCCCAGGCTGGTCTTGAACTCCTAAGCTCTAGCAGTCTGCCCACCTCAGCCTCCCAAAATGCTGGAATTACATATAGGCATGACTCACTGTGCCTAGCCAGATCTTAATTTACAAATATGGGGTATATCTTAACCCCTTCTAAGGAGTCAAGCCAAAAACTCTTACTAAAATTACACATTATTATTATTTATTTAAGATAGGGTCTTGCTCTGTTGCCCAGGGTAGAATGCACTAGCCTGATCTTGGTTCACTGCAATCTCTGCCTCCTTGACTCAAGTGATCCTCTTACCTCAGCCTCCTGAGTAGCTGAACTACAGGTGCACATCATCAGATCGGCAATTTTTTTTTAAATTAATTAATTAGTTTGTTTGTTTGTTTGTATTTTTGTAGAGACAGGGTTTTGCTATGTTACCCAGGCTGGTCTTGAACTCCTGGGCTCAAGGGATCCACCAGCCTCAGCCTCCCAAAATGTTGGGATTATAGGCATGAGCCACCATACCTGGCCTACTTTTTTTTTTTTTTTTTTGAGATGGAGTCTTATTCTGTCACCCAGGCTGGAGTGCAGTGGCACAATGTCAGCTCACTGCAACCTCCAGCTCCTAGGTTCAAGTGATTCTCCTGCCTCAGCCTCCCGAAGAGTAGTTGGGATTATAGGCATGCCCCACCATGCCTGGCTAATTTTTGTATTTTCAAAAGAGATGGGGTTTCACCATGTTGGGCTGGTCTCGAACACTTTCTACAAAGCTTCTGGAATGAACACATATACTTTTTAAACGTCAGAGACCCATGTAGAGAATGAAAATAGCTTGGTATGACAGAAGGGCAGTTGAGTATCCACTTTAAATTAGGTAGACAGAGGCAGTGACACTTAAGGGCTATTTACAAGATAGTAAAGATCAAGGGTAGACACATTTCATGACTAAGAGGGCCCTAGGTGACAAGGTGCCCTGCCTGTGAGTCAGTATTGAGGAACCAAAAGACCACTGTGGTTGAGGTATCTGAGACATGTTACTTAGCTGCTGCATTTAGTTAACCTCAGAACCAAATGCTCTCTATAAATGCTCAAATCGTCACAATTTGATGTTGTAATTTCTCTGACTGTCTCTAACTCTAAGATATACTAATAGGAATTTTTTTTATTATATAATATTTGAGCTATTTGAATACAAACATTTTAACAAAAATGTTAAAACTTACATATTTTTAAAAACACTTATTATAAATAATGTATCATTTATATTATATAATATATTACAGAACACTTAGAAATTAATGTGGATGGCTGAGCAGGTGGCTCACGCCTATAATCCCAGCACTTTGTGCTGCCATGGCAGCCAGATAATGAGGTCAAGAGACTGAGACCATCCTGGCCCACATGGTAAAACCCTGTCTTTTACTAAAAATACAAAAATTAGCTGGGCATGGTGGCAGGCGCCTGTAGTCCCCGCTATTTGGGAGCCTGAGGCAGGAAAATTGCTTGAACCTGAGAGGTGGAGGTTGCAATGAGCCGAGACTGCGCCACTGCACTCCAGCCTGGGCAACAGAGCGAGACTCTGTCTCAAAAACAAAACAAAAAAAAAGAAATTAATGTGGATTTACTCACAGACTTAATACAATTGTCATTACTATGTATTATTTTCTATTCTTCAAATAGGCAGACTTCCACATAATTGCAATTGTTGTAACAATTAAAAAATTTTTTTATTTTTATTTTTTTTAGATACAGGGTCTCACTATGTTGCCCCAGCTGGTCTCAAATTCCTGGACTCAAGTGATTCTACTGCTTTAGCCTCATGAAGTAACAGAACACAGGGTGTGTGTGCCATGCAATTGTAACAAATATTTCGGCAACTTGCTATATGCTAAATACTATACTGAAAACTTTAATTTATTATCTTATTTGGTCCTCACAACCACTTCGGGAGGGTATTTTTCCTCCTCTACCAATCTAG